ATTAATTATCCAGCTTGCACAGTCCTTATTTATCTGAGCATATCTTGAGCTACCGATATCGGATTGATGCGATTAAAAGTGAGTTGGAAAGGTAAGAGATAGAGGATTAAATGTTAAGAAGACTTCCTCATCCAAATATGCTTGTAACGTGTTCAAAATTGGCAATCAATATGGATGACGTACACTGTCCACTGGACTGTTTTGAATGTACCTCAAGAGTCTTCGTATTTCCATCGCTTTGCTTTATCAATTTCTTTTGTTCCAATTTATCTCTTGAATTCCAAACTGAAATAAATATGATTACAATCCAATTCAGCACCTAAAGCTTCTCGATTTCATATTAACCCAAATGCAAGCTTCTACGATTTATCACTTGAATTAGTTCATCATCGAACACAAAATCTCCAAATAAATTCTCGATCATCTTCAAGTGAATTTAAAAAATTGCCCGGACAAAATTAGGGTATTACAACAAGCTCGAGGAGGCGAGATCATTTTCTAATAGAAAACCACATTGAAACTTGTTATGAATATAGAAAACTAAGTATTATTGATTTCATCGTTTTACAAGCAACATCACCTTCCTTTATATACAAGTAAAGGTTTGTATAACAGCTATAACAGAAAGTTGTTATGCTCTTAACTGCAATCTAACTGAATTTGCTAAGCTGGTGCATGCTCCATTGCAATCCATCCAACATGCTCCATGCTTCTTCCACTTTCAACTTCTTTCAATGACACAACACCTAATCGTTGTCTAAACATATGAAAATAGTCTTTTGACAACGCCTTAGTGAAGCCATCAACTATCTGATGCGAAGAAGGTACATAGTTAACCTTCAACCTGTTTGCTGCCACCTTTCCTCTAACAAAATGCACATCCAACTCCACATGTTTAGTTTTTGAATGGTAAATCGGATTGACACTCATAGATATGGCACTGGAATTATCACTCCAGATGACAGGAGTACCTTGTAGCTTAACTCCCATACTATCAAGTAATGCACCTACCCAAGTGGCATCAGAAGACGCATCAGCCAAGCTCCTATACTCGGCTTCTGTTATGGACCTGGAAACAATTTTTTGCTTCTTGGAGTTCCATGTGACTAGATTACCAGCAAGATACAGGCAATTACCTGAGATTGATCGTCGATCATCCATATTATTTGCCCAATCATCATCTGCAAAAGAAACAAGTTAAAAAGGCGTGTCATTTCGAGACATAACCAGCCCATAATCCAGAGTTCCATTCAAGTATCTGAGAACACGTTTCACAGCAGACAAATGCTACTCACATGGTGTATGCATGAACTGTGCCAATTTATTGACACTATATGCAATGTCTGGTCTTGTGTGACATGCATATGGTAATGAACCAACAAGACTCCTATTTTTAGGTGTGGGCATTGGCGAGGCACTGTTCATCTGTGATTTGTCCAACAACTCCATAATGTACTTCCTTTCACTTAGAAATATGTTATCACCCATTATTTGACCTCAATTCCGAGAAAGAAACTAAGTTGCCCCAAGTCTTTAAGAGAAAATTTCTCACCAAGTAAGCTAACCACTTTTTCCACTTTACAAATCATACTTCTTGTAACAATTATGTCATCCACATATACTAGAACATACTTACATATTCTTCCTTTCTCATTACAAATAATGAACAATCAGTAAGTGATGCTTCAAAACCAATGTGTAGCAAGTGTTCCTTCAACTTGACATAACAGTTGCGAGGAGCTTGTCTTAGGCCATACAAAGCTTGATTTAGTTTGCACACTAAAAGAGTTTCATCTGAATCAACTTCTTCAAACCCTTGAGGCTGCTGCATATAAACATTTTCATGCAAATCACCATTTAAAAAAGCATTGTTTATGTCCACCTGTCTCAAGCACCACCCCTTTTGAACAGCTACAGCAAGAATCACATTAATTATGGAGGACTTAGCTACAAGACTAAAGGTGTCTTGAAAATCTTGCCCAGGAATTTGGGAAAAATCCTTAGCCACTAATATGGCTCTCTCTTGCTTCGAGTTATCATGTGATGACTAGATACAACCTTGGAGCTTGAAGCAGTATCTAAGTCTGGCTGAATGACATGTGTCATCTCTTGCTGCTCAACCACAACACCATTTTAAGTTGTTACATGTTGACCAGAACCAATACCTTCAACATCATTTTCAGTTGTGTCATGTTGACTCGAATCAATATATTCCTCTTCAGCAGACTGATTCATCAATCCAGAATCAAGATCTTTAACTGGACTACTTACAGGTAGTTGAGCATTAATCTATGAACTCTGACTTGTATTCATGCAATCATCAGCCCAATCATATACTCTATGAGCTCCATTAATGACTGTCAGCTTTCGAGAAGACATTTGATCTATGTCAACCGTTTTTTCACTACCTCCTGCAAAAGGAAAACAACTTTCATCAAATATCACATGCCTTGATATATATATTTTTTCACTTGGTTCCAAGCATTGATAGCCCTTATGATAAGCATTATAACTAAGGAACGTGCATGGTTGAGACATAAAGTCCAACTTATGTTGCTGAAAATCTCGAAGATGTGGAAAACATCTGCACCAAAAAACACGCATGAAACTGTAATCATGTTGTTTGTTGTAAAGTTCTTCAAAAGGTGATTTTCCATGTAGGACCTTAGTGGGAAGTCGATTTATAAGATACACAGTTGTGCTTATAGCATAGGACCAGAAACACAATGGTAATGATGTATGTGCCATTAAAACTAACGCTGACTCAATAATATGTTGGTGCTTACGCTTAACAACACCGTTTTGTTCTGAGGTATGAGGGCATGTCAACCGATGATGAACACCCATATTAGTCAGCATCACTGATAATGGTTTGTATTCTCTACCCCAGCCAGTTTTTAGTTCCTTGATTTCAGCCTCAAACTGAGTTTTAATAAATGCATGAAATAACTAAAATGCCTGCAGTGTTTGATCTTTAGTCTTAAGAAAATACACCCATCAGTGCCTTGTACAGACATCCAAAAATGAAACATAATATATGAATCCATTGGAGATTATGTGTGAAGGTCCCCACAAGTAAAAAAAACATGAGCTGAAAGGGTTTATCATACATTGTGGTGGACTCATGAAATGGTATTTTGTGGCTTTTCCACATTTGACAAGCTACACAAACATTTGTACTTTCTTTACTAAACGAGGAGGCAACATCAACTCCAATTTCTTTACATATTTGCATCAATGGAATATGAGTAGGATACCCAAGCCTTTGATGCCACAAGTCATACATGTCTATGCTAGTTGCTACATTCGCTACTATAGAACTTGAATCCTTATTACAATGTGTATGATCAACAACAAACTGATACATCCCAATAGTCTCTCATCCTTGCAACAACACCTCTTTAGTCTTCTCATCTTTCACAAAGCAATGATTGGCATGAAACTCAAAAAATACCCCGTTCTCTCTAGCAAACTTAGAGACAGACAACAGGTTTTTAGTAACACCAGGAACATGCAGCAGATTATTAATGAAAAGAGCTTGAGACTTGGTTTGAAGGAGAGATGAACCAGTCTTAGATATATCAAGACTTTGTCCATTACCCACAATTAATTTACCTTTCTAGAATAATCAGATCCATTGTTCACCTTGGAACCATCTCGAGTGACATGGTGAGTCGCTCCTGAGTCAATAACCCATTTATGTGAGCTGAAAGATGAAGCAGTGCAGGTATATCATTCATTTTCCAAACCTGCTACTTGAGCATTAAAAGACTCATGTTTATCTGCCAAAACTCCAGAAAATGAGTGGTCAAATCGATGCCAACACCGATCCACCGAGTGACCAATTTTTCCACACAACTGACAATGCACCCTTGATCTTCCACGACCTCTAGTACCAGTTCTACCACGCGAATACTTTTGTGGATTTCTTTCACTTCCAGAGTATTGTTGATCAGTAGATCTATCAGAATACTTCCTTTGAATGTTGTTCTGAACATGCATAACATTGGCACTAAGAAGCGGTTGACATTGAACTTGAAAGCTTTTAAGCTGGGCTTCTACATCAATTAATATTGATTGTACTCCATCCAATGTAAAGGCATCTTTGCTTACTGTACTAAAAGCAACAAAGGGTTAGAACTTAAATGGAAGTTCATTCAAGATCGTGGAAATCTGATCAATGTCAGATATAACACTGCCACAAGCTGCTAATGCATCGCAAACTTTTTTGATCGAGGTGAGATACAAACGCAAGCTCTCATCTCCTTTCTTGATTGATTGTTATTTACAATGTAAACTCATTATACTAGTAGTAGAGCGATTGGAAAAGAACTTGAGGACTGTGGTCCATACCTCAACAGCAGTTTCAGTACCAACAAATTGTGGAAGGAGATGATCGTTGATGGTAGACAGGAGCCAAGAAGCCAGGGCACTATCTTGTGCCACAAACACATCATATTCTTCATTGATTACAAGATTGCCATCAGCATCAAGAATTTTCTCAGGTGGAGACCTAAGATCACCAGTGAGTAATCTTTTAAGTCGGTGACTCCGAACAGTTAAAAGAACATGCTGCTTCCATCGAAGGAAATTCACTCATCAAGCATGATGTTTATGCGTTTATTAGTAAACATCTTGCCAGGCCTCAATGAATCTGAAAAACCAAGAATATTTCCAGAACCGCCAAACGCCATGACATCGGCTCTTGCAAGATTGCTTCAAGAATGCTGCCAAGTAGCAACACACAACAGAAGAAACGAAACTTATCCCAGAACCAACTTATGCGTCTGATACCATAATAGAAAATGACATTGAAGCTTAATATGAATATAGAAAACTGAGTATTATTGATTTCATCGTTTTACAAGCAACACCACCTTCCTTTATATACAAGTAAAGGTTTGTATAACAACTATAACAGAAAGCTGTTATGCTCTTAACTGCAATCTAACTGAATTTGCTAAGCTGGTGCATGCTCACGTTGCAATCCATCCAACATTTTCTAGGAAAGTGTTGGAGAAAATTGCGTTGAAAGATACTAGCTTTGGTTGTACTGGGCTGAAGAAAATGGTAATCGAATCCGCCCCGCATCATATTAAAAACTATATATAGAAAGAGAATTAGTGGTATATTAATGTAACTAAAATTGATTTCCTTGTTTGTGATTGTGTAACAGATGGAGCATGAACTGAGATTTCCATGGATCGCTCGACTGGATCGTCTGGACCATAGAGCATGGATCGAGGACAGCAATAATACCAACATTTTGTGGGTAGGCAAGACCTCCTCCCACAGGTATATATATATAATATCAGCTTAACTTGACATTACTGAAATGATTAAAAATTTTAAAGAAATGCATCGTCAAGGTCAAATAATTAAACATCAAACCTTTTGGAAGCAGATTGTCAACCCTGTTAAATAAGAAGCTGTTGCAACTTGCTGTGGCGGAGTATGAGTTTCGACAGTCAACATACAGGAATGAGTTGGAGGAAGTTACACGGTGCATGTTCTTTTATATCATCGTCATCATCAGATCAGAATATGTTCTTTTATATCATCGTCGTCATCAGATCAGAATAAAAGATTTAGTATTTAATCTTAATTTTATGGAGAAAAAAAAAACTAACCAGCCAAATAACTCCGTATATATATTATTTCATGTCATGATTGTTTCATTTTACTTGTTCTGCAATGACTGCTACTTAGGTATCGAATGGTATTTATGAATGTTAATCGTATGTGAGATTGCTTATGTCATGTTTTGATATTTATTTATTTATAATCTACGTGCATATATAATCCTTAAAAGTTGGTGCAGTATTTACATAAGTTAAAGTGTGCATGCCTTTTTTATTTAATAAATATATATAAATATATATTATGTTTAAAATATACTTTTCAATTATAAAGATGAATATTATTTTGTGCGAATAATTTAAGGAGATGAGCGTTAACTAGCAAAGAGTGTGTCTTAGCGAAATTGTCGGTACAAAAATGGTATGTTCTTATTCAAGTAAGTATTAAATATATCGCAATGTCATTTCGTAATAGGAACATGGAAACGCACCTTAACTGGCGAGGAGAGTATTTCCGAGGATTGTTCGTACGAAATTATATCCTTTTGTTACTCAAATATTTTTCGAACATATCAAATATATATCTAATTTATTACAAAGATCAAGGCAATGGCCTTTTATATGGGGAATCAATGGAAACGTGCCTTAACTGGCAAAGAGTGTATTTTTGAAGATTATTCGTATAAAAGAATAACCTTTTAAAAAAATATTTAAAGGAGAGGATCGTAATTTAAATACCACTCAATTTTATAATTTTCAATATCTAGATGACGTATAATCGTTTAGGTATCGACTTTGGGCGCTGTGGGGATATTCGTCATTCCCCATGTGTAATCGACTCACGAACCATTTTCAAAATGAGTTTTTGGTTAAGCACAAATCATTTTTTATCTTTTAAAATTATTTTTCTTAAAATTATTTTAAATGATATTTTTAGGTATTCGACCTACCTAATCCGAAGGTCAATGGCGACTCCAAATTTATTTATTTATTCATATATTTATTTTAAATTTCAATATTTTCTAAAATTAAGTTGGATGACTCTCCACCATAGTCCTAAAAAACTTAAGGACCGTTCCGACAAAAGAAAAATAATAAAATATTATACTCAGTTGCATTTATATACAACATAATTATTTGTTCTTATACGAATGATGAAAATCTTCAAATTTAAAAATTATAGAAAACAAGATTAAAAAATAGATAGAATAATTAAAAAAAAAAAGAGAAAATAAAAGGTTTAACTGTATTATTTGTCCTATTAACTATATATTTTATACGAAGTTTTCATCTGAAATATTTTTTTGAAATTTTTTGTTTTATTAATTTTGAATCATTATCTTATTTGTTTAAAATCGTTAACTTGTTAGAAAATAAATATAAATTATATATTTAGTTACTCAATTATTTCAACTGTCAGTTTTGATCATCTAACTATTTTATTTTTTAAAATCATCATTAAACTTAAATTTTCATTATGTTTTGATCTCTCAATTCAATTCGATTTATTTTTTAAATTTATAATAAATAAAAAATTTATATCATATTTTTTTATTTGACACATGAATTTAATTTAAAATAATAAATAATATTAGAATCTAATTTCGACCAACTTATCGAGGTACCCTAACCTTTATTCTTCTCCTTCCATTTTGACTTCAACACATAATGATTAATGAAAATATTGGAATCATAAACCTGCTAGATATTAGAGGTGAATACATTAACTGTTTGTAGGGTTCTTGAATTTTTTTTTGGCTGCTTTAAGATATCGTTCGAATTATTTCTCAAGATGATGTGAATGTTATAGTAATCGAAGAGTCGTCGGGAACACAGTGCGTCTTTCGGGGAAGACTCCAGGAAGACAAATGTGTCTTCCTTATTTTTATGCCATTGAACAAAGCTGAAGATGTATTGTCTTTCAGACGACTTTCCAAAGACGCACTGTATTTCCGGCGACTTTCAATGGATACTGTAACATTCACACTAGACCAAAAAATAATTCTGGTGAGACCCTATTTCAACTAATAATTTTTTTCACAACACCATAAAAGTAATTCAGCTCATCCAATTTGGTGTTTTGGATGCGGCTGCTTTTGATTCGGTGTCTGTTATTCAATCAAAGTTTTCTTAAATTTTCCCGAGTCAGCTACCTGCTCAATGTCGGTCTATCTATAGAAGAAAATACATAAAAGACCAACAGAATTTTAAGTTCTTAAACCTAATTCATTCACTCTATTTCCCTAGTCTAACTATGGATATGAAATGACCATCCAGCTTAGTTGGTAGAGCACAAGGTTCTTAACCTTGAGGTTGTGGGATCGAGTCCCATGGAGGGTATTTCGTAATTCGGAGGTTTCCTACGGAAGTTGCTCTCCCAGTTGGGAGCAGCCTACTATCTTACCTCCCCTTACCCTATACATATGGGAAAAAAGGGACAGCCATTTATAGTAGGATTTTGGGAAGTTATCGGTATCATTACGCCTCTTCAAGTTGAGATGTAAATCGTTTAGATTGATTTTTAAGTGGAATGGGCTTAGTAAAAGTAAGAATGAGCATGAGTCGGGTTGGGTCGAGTTTTTGGTCAACCCGACCCGAAAAATATACACCCGATCCAAACTTGACTCACTGTTTTGAGATAAAACCCAAATTTGATCTGAAATAATATATTTATAAAAATATTACTTTTATTCAATAAAAAAATAAGGATTTAATAGAAAATAATATATAGTGGGGATATATAAAGTAAAATTATATTTTTTGGGTTGGATATGGTCGAATATTTTCACCCTAAACCCGAACTCGACCAGACTCGAACTCAATTTTTTTAGACAAATCTGACCCAACAGGATCGGGTTGGGTTCAGGTCCCGTGCCATCCCTAGGTAAAAGCCATCTATGTTGTTTGAAATGAAGTCCGGTTTACGAAGCTTCTTTGGATCCTACGAGAATGCAACATGGTAGGTGATCGAATGGCAAAGATGTTTGCTCTTAATCACTATCGAGTTTCATTGTTTGATTATGTATCCCAACATACAACCACTTATTTCAAGGGATATATCAGGTGTAAGTAATGCAAATCTCACAAACATTTAATTTATTTTTTTTCAATAATAATATTTTTAAAATAATTATTTTTTTGAATGATTAAAAAATAAATATATAATTTAAAATTATTTTATTTTACATCGAGACCTTCATATTATAGAACTGTTTGTACTTAAATTATTAACTTAATGTAACATTTTAATTTTTAAAAAAATATAAATTATTTTTGTTCTATTTCAACATCAATTTCATTAAAGAACATATACAGTGAATTATGAAACAAATGTAACAATTGGGTCCAATAAGTCAATAATTGAAATGGAGAATGAATGGTAAGATGTCGTAGTCGAATTTTCATCATTTGCGAAAAAGATGATACGGCAAAATTTGAGAACAGAAACACATTGTGGCCCAAAATGAATGCAAAGACGTTGTAGTCCAATCTCTTCATTCTAGAGAATATGCGCCGACAAATTTTGAGGACAGAAACACATTTTGGTCCCTCGTCTCTCGTTTCACCTTATACTAAATATCTCATGTCTGAAATAAACATGGCTGCTAATTTTTTTCCAGGTCAAATCACAAAAAACTTAAAAGGAAAATATTTATTGGCCAAGTATTCCATCTGACTGAAAGAGACATAATCTACCTTTGCTGTTCAAACCGACAGATGAAAATGATTAATTTTATGTTTTTATCCCTTCCTTTTATACTTACACACTCATATCTTATTATCTTTTTATTCCTTCATTTCACACACGATAATTGATCTATGATATCTCCTATGCATTGTTTTGAAAACTGGATCGGATCGGTCGGTTCAATCGATTTAACCGGGAATCGAGTGCTAGTCCGATTTAATTTAAACCGGTTGAACCGCTACTAGTGAACCGATCAGAATCGCTGAACCGTTCGAATCGGACTGGATGAAAATCGGAAAAAACTGAAAAAACCAAAAATTTTGTTTGTTTTTTTTTTAAATTAAACCAAACAACGTCGTTTGTTAAACGAGCCAAGTTGAACTCGAGTATTGCAGAGCTCGACTCGAACTCACAAGCTAAAAATTATCAAATTCAACTCAAACTCGAAATATAATATTGAAACTTGAACTCAAAAAGGCTTAAACTAAAAAAAAAATTAGAAGATCGATTGAAGCCTAAAATTCGAGCTTGATTGAAGTGAAAGAATAGTTCATTCAATGCTCACTAAAAGGCTCCATGATTTTAAATGTCAAATTACCTCTATTATTTATAGAAGTTAGTTGTGATGTTCTTCTATGTTTCTTAGCAATGTGGGATTGTTTTGTTCTCATATTTTTACTCTTTAGACTTTTGGGATGCTCTTCTATGTTTCTTAGCCATATGAGATTGTTTTTTTTTAAAAAATTAAACCAAACAATATCATTTTGTTATGCTTTTTTTAACTCCAAATTTATTTTTTAATTATAGTTATATAATTATATTTATTATTTAATATGTTTTACCTTAAATATTATGTTGTAGTTAATTTGAATCATTTTGTTTCACTTGATTTTATGGTTTTTAACTTATATATATTATGACTTGCTTTGAATATGACTTGTGATATAAAAAATTATTTTTTATTAAATATTTTTGGTATTTTTATTTAATTTTTTAAATAATTATGACGTCGTCCGGTTCTTCGAACCGGTCGAACCGATTCAACCGATTGAACTAGTAAACTGATAGTATGACCGGTTCGCTAACCGGTCCGATTCTAAAAATCATGCTCCTATGTCCAATTCAGTGGTAGTAGAAATAAAAGTTGTAAAATAGATTTTTATTCAGTGAATGAAATATTGATATGGATAGTTTTGATCATAACATTTCAAAATTATTTAATTGACATATTTTATTCAT